ATTATATTATATTTTTCTTCATTCTCGTATTATACAACATTGTTAGATTTGGTATCATTTGGAGGTAGACTGAGTTCGTGTAGTGAAATTCGGCAGCATGAGAACAGTGTACTTCGCTTAAATATAAAATGGCGTTCGTTATATTTCGGAATGTTGAATTGAACCTTCTGTGATTAGACGTCGACTGAAATGAAATCATTATGCTGAAGAAGACTTCCTTGATGCTACATGGCAGGTAGTGATGTGGTCGTCACCACTCTCTTCAGTCAAGGTCCAGACACAGTATACTGACAGGTGACCAGTTTCAACTTGACTGCTCTTCGTTCTCCTTGTTTATCCACAATCAGAAATATTTTACTCAGTGCACGGTGGAACTACTCGTACGATTTTATGCTCGTGTGTTGAAGACATTAAATGCTTGAACCACCAGTACTAGGCCTTAGCTATAACAAGTTTCAGATTCTGTTAAAAATATAACTGTGTGTGACTGGAATAGTTTAGATCCTCGAAAGCTGAAATGTCTTTCGTTTGAAGTGATCAGAACTGCGTTAATCAGGCCTAATCTCATATTCAGCCTATACACAGACACACATTTTACTACTCGAACCGTGTTTACAGTATCTCATTGACACGTGAGATCGTAGCATTCTGTTACAGTGTCATGAAAGACATTTTTGTTAAGTAACAGGAAACACTATGAAGCCATGCGAGGGCAGATTAGATCAGGGCATTTAATGTGATAGAACATGTTACTGTGAGGACAATTGCAGGAGCAGATCCCACCCCACGAAGCTGATTTCGACGAGCTAGGTTATTCTGCTACATACTTGTTTGCATGCTACCATAACCGATGTCAGCGTTTCAGATTTTTACGCGACTGCGTATACAACACCTTCTGTTTCGTCTGATAAACTACTTAGCCGTACGCCTGACTTTATTCAACCGGTGTTAGAAGTATGGACGCAATTAGAAGATTATTTGCCGCACTTGTAATGCTTGCTTTCTGCATGCTTTCTCGGCGTAAGTTCCAATCTCTTGACAGAACAAATAGTTTTGATGTTGTCACCATCCTTGTCCTCCTGCCGAACTCATGTTTATTTCATGCTGTATTTATTATTTGAATATAGCATGGCGGGTGTCTAAGCTCTGTGAATCTAAAGCGATAGTGCCTAACTGCTTTATTCTGACGTTGACGCGATCATCCATACTATGAAAATAAATGAATGAGCATGAGGATGGAGATCTGAATGCGTTGACAGCACGAGGGTATTTTCTGAATTTGAGACGACGTCTGCAAATCAATGAAGTCGATGTGCGTCGGTTAGTGCTAAATTCGGTTTACCAGGGTTTCTTGATTCGACATCTGATTGCATGCCATTCATTTGATAGACCTGAAGTATTGAAGTTCTAGTTGGTCACTGAGAAAAGCGTTAATGTGGTGCCTTGGTGGGCGAATGCTTTGAGCCTCCAGATCGCGAACTTTGCTACGAGAAGCATAAAAGTGACATGATTTGTACTGCCATTCACCACAAGCGTCCTATTCGAGGTCATGTCCCATTTTGAAATCGTCTTCCATGAATCTGCTCAGTTACGCATGTCTACTGTGCAAGTGCACACCAGTACACCATCAATGTCATGAAAATACTCATACGGTTATTGGCACTATTCACTTTCGCATGTCTCACATATTGATAGAATTCCTGATGGAAAGGTGACGACTTGAAGACAGCAGACGAAGATAGATGAAACGCTGTTAGATATGGCCTCTGGCTGTGTGATTACACGAGAAAGCATGTCTACGTTACCAATTTATTATTGTTGATTATTATTGCGAATCGGCAGAGTGTGCACCGAATGCATAGCTGTGACATACGCATGACAGCACCACTGACTAACGTTCTCTCTCAAATAAGAAGTGAATGGCGCGAGTAGACTTGAGAGTGTAAAACGAGGTCTGCTCGACAGTGCATGTTGTGTTTGTTTCATTGGAGAAATCTCTGCCGACAGGTAGTCAGAACCAAACGTGTTGCTGGGTTACTCACACATTTCCTGTTGGTTATTGTGAACCTTTCTGTTAATGTCATGATTCTGCTAGTCTGTCGCTTCCTTGAGAGGTCTATGAATGCATTTATTTCAATGGAGCTAGGTGGCGTGATGGTTTCAGCTTCACTTGAATTCATTGTTCGATAATGAGTAATTGAATTGAGAGTAGTGAGTAGGGAGTTCAGTGGATCATACTCATATCACCCAGACAATTTTGATGATAGTCGACGCAGATTTAACTCGTTTGCTGAGGAATAACAGACTTATCTGATATGGAACTGGTTGATTACATTGACTGTCAGTGACATCAAGGCAGTTTACGAGATCTGAGTAAAATATACTGAATGCTTGTTCAAGATCAGTTGTAGTGAAGTAATCTCCTGAATCAGTACATCTGATTAAAGGACACACTTATTCCAGTAAGCTTCAGCATGGTCTGTGCACTTTATTTGTCCAACATTGAGTGTATTACACGATGTTCGTTTGAAGAAGGAGCGAGAACGCACACATATCACAGTCTTCTGGTCGCTTCATGACAGCTCAGACGTTACACAGTTTAAGAGTAAACTAATAAATTTTGGTCGAGTAAAAAATCAAACACATTGTCATTCCTTGTCAGGGTGATGATGAATTATTTGTATCTGAATATGTCTAGTTTAATGAGAAAGCTGTCTTACTTGGCAGCTTCTGCACACTCTTACTATTGAATTTCCGACAAGTCTGATTCCCAGTGTGTAAGCTTGTTTTCATACGGAAGAGAGGATGCATATTCCAGAGTATAATTAAAAACAGATACGCCATCAGAAAAGACTCCACATGCTTTCTATATGAAGCCTACAAGCACCGCAGCACCCTTGTGTTGTATAGTGACCGATATGGATTCTCCGCGTTTTTCGGGCACTGCATCTCCTAGCCGGAATGCCAAAATAGTGTTTAGGAAGTACAGTAGGTATCCGCTTCCTCATTTATTGTCCCGGTCACATCTAAAATCCATGTATATGTCACCACTTGCTTGCTTATCTGGTAGACTTGAGAGAAATCGTGATTCTGTGGTCATTAAAACAGGTGGTTTGAACAAGAGAGATAGGTTTCTGAGTATTGGCAGTGTGCCTATAACAGATCTGGGATTGTTAAGAATTAAAGACAGGTGTGAATAGAAGAAGTGCGTACACGTTCGAAGATCGGTGAAGAGGGTGAGGAGTACGTTGACACCGGATGTTCAAGTATGATCATGTGACACATGAGTTGCCATTACTTTCATGACTTGTGGATAGGGTGGAAGGGGGATTTTGCCAGCAAGGGGTTAGATGGTCAATCTTATTTGCAAAGGTTGACAAGTTAGTTGAATGAACCTCAGCTAGACCTGTATCTGAACACCTGTTAGTAGTGGTATTATTAGTAGTAGTTGTTGTAGTAATAGCATAGATAGTACAAGAAATAAAAGTGATATTTGCATTGCATGCATTAGTAATAGACGTAGTAATAATAATATTGTATTGGTAGTATAATGCGTCACATTATTGTCAGCAATGATGTAACTACCAAAATTTGCATTATTGTTACAACTGTTTATTTTCACTTAAACTACCAACACTATTTTTACTGCTTCAATTAAAAATACTACTACCAACTAATAATACTAGTTACGCTAATTAGAATGAAGATACTACCTATATTACTTCTAGTACTGGTACTAACACCAGCACCACTGACACTACTAACAACACGTATAATACTTGTGTTCATTTCTCCACACATGTAAATAATACTCACTTGATAATTCTATGTCTTATACTTCTCGTATTACCAATACAGCTGAGACTTGATATATTAATTACTCGATTAACACTAAATATACTACTTACTAGTACTAATTATGCTTCATATTTTACTGTTAGTACCAATACTAACTGGACTACCTGTCTTTCCATAACTGTCTACATTAGTACAACACTTTTTCATCTACTTATATAACCGATAATTTAGGCGCTACTCCTTCCTACAAGGCTACTATTGACACAATTAACACTGCTTTTTTAACGAATACTACATATATTTCTGATACTACGAGCAGCACTAATAAAACTGATATCACTATCATTTCTAATGTTACCGATACTTCTCACACTGCTCAAAAAAATTACGGCAACACGAGTTGGGAGGTGTTCACAGCCTCCATTGTGTCACCCTGTTAGGGAAGTACATTGGAAACTATACGTGGGATCCTCAACAAAGCTGGAATTAGGATAGCATTCAAACCTACAAAGTCACTCAGAGATAAGCCTTGTCGGCTGGCTTAAGGATCCGATAGAATCAACTAAGTAAAATAATGTAATCTGATAAATTCAATGTCCATGTAATGACCTCGAAGTCAAGCATATAGGTCGAACTGGCCGGTCGGGGTCGGTTAGGATAGCTGAACATAGGAATCCAGCTAAATACAGAATGACAGATGTCACTGGAGTGAATAATCTACAAAAACACTCAGCTACTGCAATGCACACATAGCACAATAGAATTGGTGGGATAAAACCACTGTACTTAAATTCAATATAATTTGTTGAAGAGAGAGAGAGAGAGAGATTGGTTACTGAATCTTTGTTCATCGAATCAACACCTAACACACGTAATAGAAATGACGCAGCATCAATAGGAGAGATATGGAAATTTAACTAACAATACAATCAAATAATATGAGGTGATAATACTATTAAAATCAGACGTTGAATTGATGCCATTTCATTTATATGAATTTGAGGACTAAGTTATGCTGGAAACGTCATCGTCCAGTAAATAATACTGTATCACTGTATGTTATGAATAAAATAAACAAATCTAGTATGCAACTCAATTCTACTGCAGTGAAAAGTTTTACACTTATATTCTTAATAAAATTGCTTTAGTAGTGTAAGCAGTACAGTGGAACGAAGCATAGTAGTGATAGTGGTATCGATAGAATGAGCCATATACTTTGTGCTGGTAGCATAAGTATCATAACCAGTAATACTAATGTGAACAGTTTTGGTAGTAGAAATAATATCAATAATATACCTACTTTAAGTAGTATTATAAGTGTTGATAATATGAATGATATAAGAAGTAATAGTTTTCGTAGTAGAGGTAATAAAATTGGCATGAGCAGCATCGATGGTATCAATGATATGGTGTCAGTGATCAAGTTAATATTAGTATTGTTGGCACTTTCAGGCATCCTACAAATACAAATACCGTTCGTAGTCCAAATAGTTATGATGATATATAATATTATTATTCGTCCCTTAGGTTCCTAGTGGAACATAGGGCTTCACCAGCAAGTCTTCATTACACTCTCTTCTCTGCAGTCTCGTCAACCTGTTACCACCACTGACCATAAGCTTTAATTTCTCCCTCACATAATCTACTCCATATTACCGTCGGACGCCCAATACATCGTTTCCCCTTAGCATTCCACTCGACGGCCTGGCGCATGATGTCTCCATATGGTTCTCTCAGTAAATGTACAATCCATATCCACTTTCTTCAGCATATTTGTTGGGCGATAAGTTCTTGGTTGATTCGTTGCCAGTTAGCCGCAGTTCATACATGCTTATTGTTTCTAGCCATCTGGTTTTCGGTATCCAATGAACGTAGACGGCCGCTGTTGATGAATATCTGCAGTTGGTTGGAAATACTTTTCGTAACGCATCAAGTCTCTTAGCCATCACATGGATGCACTGACTTGACTGACATTAGTCTTGAAAATACAGATCTAGTTCAGGCTCTACGCTGAGTGCAGTGTAGTGCAGTGCAGTATATATCCAAAATGATTTCAGATTAATGCAGGAAGGCCTATCTTGCTATCCTTCCGATCCTGGCTGGCTTTGATATCCGCATCTGTGCCTGTGCTACCTGCACTTGAAACGATGCTGCCTCCTAGGTAGGTGAAAGAGACAACTCCCTTCAGTTTCCCCCTATTCGTGGTGATTGGTGCTTGTTCCTGGTGTTCTTGATGTTGATTGCATATCTTCATCACCTTTCTCTTGTCCATGTTCACCTGAAGGAAGTCCCATCTTCCTTTGCTGTCTCGCCCCTTCTTCCAACTTGCTAGCTTTCACCTGTGCATCTTCGAGTTTCTGCTACAAAACATTAGACATGAATCACCATCGGCGAAATCCAAATCCTCTAGAACCTCTCCATCGATACAACAGCGTATCCCTTTCTTCTCACAGTTCCTCACAGTTTGTGCATGATCCAGTCTAGTCCAGTCGAGCACAGTCAGCAGTATCATTGGTGATAGAATGCGGCGAACTTGTCTTGTCTTACACAATTCTTCACTTGAGTCACCAACTCAATTAGGTCGCAGATGTCTGCCAACAGTTCTGCATTCTCACTCATTTCACTAAGTGTTTCTAGACCCATGATTATTTCTCTTCCTGTATTGTCTGCTCACAGTTTGACATTAAAACATATCATGTCATTACGGATTGCTGCTGCTTTCCGTTATTTTAACAATATTATGCCGTTCTGGACATCACTTCTGCTTTTGTCTGAGGGCATGTGTTCAATGTTAGTTGCTGGTGGTGTTTCTGGACCAGTTCAATGTGTTGGTCGACTCAAGAGATTTTTGAAGTGGTCATCCCATTTTTCTCTTTGTTTCTCCTCTTTTGTAACTAGGTTTCCTTCACCATATTTCATGGTTTCATCTGTGTTGATCTCGTCCCAGATAATAGTAACCTGGTTACTTGATGCAGTATTGTCAGCTATATTCTATTGGCAGCCTGTTCTGCTTCACTTGCAAGTGTGTCGTGGGAGTGTCTTTTGTCTTCGCGTGCATTCTTCTTCACTTCCTTACGCAGAGTAGTGTTGCATAGGTTGTGTTCAGTTCTACTCTTCGCTGTTCATCCCTGCAATCCACTGTACTGCATGGTAGTGCACTAGTTCAACTCCTGCTTCAACATCTGCCCTACCTCTTCCATCAGCTTACATGTGTCCGACGAGATCCATTCCTTGTCTTATCTCTTCTTCTTCATTTCTAACATGGTTATACAGGTTTCCGTCCACATCTCTTCCAAAGAGTCCTAGTCTTCTTCCGTACAGGTTTCCTCGGGATGTTGACTAATGTCTCCTATGTTTTCCTTATGGCTGACCGACATGAAGGTGTCCTTCGTAGTTTCGTCCTTCAGTTCAGTCTCTGTTGTGAGTGTTCAACCTGAACTCTGGTCTATCATCAGCATCTCTCGAGGCTTTTAACTTGATTTCGAAGGTAGGTTCCTTGCACTTACAGTAAGTGGTGTAAACCACCTACATCTGCTCCCCCTCCTCTTCATCTGATCTGATCTTGTGTCCAGTAGGCTGGCTGTGTCTCCACTTTCTTCACATTCACATGAATTCGATTTGGTTTTGCTTGCATTCCATGTCCTCCATCTTACTTTCGCTTTCATCGAGAGAAAACATATCAGTCAATAATCTTCCCGAACGCTTTCACCAACGGTCATCATTTCGTCTCCTCGATTTCCGTGAGGATTGAGTTTATATTTGTATACTATCTTTGTGCTTCGGAGTTCCCTTAGCGAGTGGATTGGTTTTACTGGGTAGGGTTGCTAGCCCTGTGCCCAAGCTTCCCTCTTTATCCTGGTTTTCTATCGGCTAGTATGTTATGTTGCTGATAATAACTTTGGTACTTATACTATTTTTACCAGTAATATTGCTGATTCAGCTGGTACTTATCATACTGTAAATAACACTACTATTACTTCTACTACTCATATTATTATTGCTACTAATACTGCTGCAACTGTGTGTACTAATGTTTCCACAAATGTAAAAAATATAACTTTTATTGCTAGTACTATTTATATCACTTCTACTGCTTATACTGTTGCCACTACTTATATTATTAATGTTACTGCTACTTAGTAAACCACTTTCAGTATTGTCACTATTAATACTTCCAACACTATTTATACCAATATTATTACCAATACTGTTTATACTACTTATGGTTCTAATGATACTTATATCATTTATACCACTTATATATTTATGTTACTTTTACTATTCTAACTACTTATACTCCTTATTCTACTAATACTCTTTTTGCTTCTAACATTGATATTAGCACAAATAGTATATTACTGATAGCCGTTGCGCTCCTCGAACTCCGTTGTACTACCGATACTACTTCTGTTTCTAATATAACGCATATTGCTGTTACTAATAATATTATGTAGATCACTTGCGTCATTTAATAACACTAACACTATTATTTCTACTATTACTATCAATGCTACTCACACAACTTTTATTACTCATTCTACCTGTACTAATAAAACTGCTAATACCCATAAAATTGGCGATACTTTGAATATTACTTATACTACTAACACCAGTTATATTACTAATCTCATTCGTATTGATTATAATGCATATATGACATACATATTACACTTATATTACATATATTACTGATACTACTGATATTACTCATGTGGCCGGTAATAGTGGTAATACCTTTACTACTTTTACTATTAATATTACTTATACTATCTGAAATCCTGTCTAACTAATACTTATGATGCTGGCAATACTACTTACACTTCTTGCTCTACCATCATCACTTTTACTACTCCTTCTAAGAATATTAATTTTAACACTGGTGTTGCCACTACTACTAATACTATTTATTCTCCTTTTATTACGTGTGCCGCAAAAACTACTGATACTTCTCGTACTGACTTTAAAAAGGATAATAATACTGATATGTATGCTCTTCGTATTACAGATACTACTAATACTACTTGTATTTTGAACACTATGTATATCACTAATACTAATCCTATTACTACTGCTACTACTACTACTGCTACTAATGTTATTTGTGTAATTAATATTACTTATGTTACTTACACTACTGTCACTACTTATAATACTCATATTGCTGATACTAGTGAAACTAATAATTATGCTAACACCAGTAATACTACTTCTGTATTGCTTATACTGCTTTCGCAACTTGTACACCAATTTTACTGATACAGATTATCTTACCTATGCTACTTACATTGAAACAGTAGTAATCGTAATAATACCTTCATTATTATTTATATTACTAATACTATTACTCTACCATTGGCAACAATTTTTTACTAGTACTAACTATACTACTAACATTAATAATAATAATGATTATATTGATAGTAATTACATTACCTATGCTACTCTTACTTTTTACATAACTAATACCAATGGTATTCGCGATATTATTTACGCTGTCAGTACTTCTTAACCATGATTTGTAATTATATTACGGATACCATGAATACTACTAATGCTAGCCAAAGTGACTGTATGACTTGTACTACTAGTACTACTTATGCTACTCATAATATGAGTACTAGTTTTACTACGTGTATTAATGTGACTTTTACTGTTTATATTTCTAATACTAGTGATGCTACTACTTATAACACTTCTATTACTAATACTAATAGTGCTTCTTGTACTCCATATATTGCAAACAATAATGATACTGTGCATACTTTCCAAACTACCAATGTTACTTATACCACTATTATTAATATTTCGGACACCACTTATAATACTTATACTATTTGCACTATTATTACTGTTTTCATCACGAGTGCAACCAATAAAGATCATACGACTAATGTTATGCATATTACTTACACTCATAATACTACTTATCACATTTATACTACTCATGTTACTATTATTACCGACACTATTTGCACTAGTTTTATTTATGATTATGCTTATACCACTTAAACTTTGAATAATACTAATATGACGACTACTTATTATAATGTTGGTGTTACTGAGAATACGAATGCTACTTAAATTATCAGTGCTAACACTACTAATACTATTTTTAATGGTGATACTAATATCATCCGTTCTGCTACCGATACTACCTAATCTACTTATACCATTTGTACTAATTATTCTACTTCTATTACTTAAACTTCCGGTACTACTGATGTTATTTATACTAATTTTATTAATTACACCGCTCATAAAACTGATACTACTAACACTGCCATTACTATTTTATTATTTGCATTGCTGATATTTCTGATATTGGTTATTCTACTTATACTATTTATATTGCTAATAATAGCGAAACTACTTATACTACTTAAATTTCTGTGTTCACACCACTGATATTAATTATACTGCTTACACTACATATATCGATTATATCGCCCATACTATCTTCACACCCCTTAACGTTAATAGTTTATATGACTACCACTACTCATACTGCTTAAAGTATTACTGATATTTATTTCATCAATGTCCCTAATGCTACGAAAACTGCTTATACTACTCACATCAGTATCACTAAGACAACGACTTCTACTACTTATATTTATAATACTAATTATACTGCTTATCCTTATATCCAAATATACAAATATTATTCATATCACCAATACTGGTTTTACTATTCATATTGATAATAATGGTTATACTGCTCATATTACTCATACTACCAATACCAACCACCATCAATGAGAGAAACCTAAAGAAAGTAGTCTCTTTCACCTACCGAGGAGGCAGCATTATTTCAACTACAGTCAGAGGCACAGACGAGGATGTCAAAGCCAGCCAGGATCAGGAAAGCAAGACAGGCTTTCATAAGTCTAAAATCAGTATGGAGATCTACTGCACTCAGCACAAAAAACAAGATGTGCATTTTCAATACCAACGTCAAGTCAGTGTTTCTGTATGGCTCAGAAAATTTGCACGTCACGAAAATCATTGACAACAAACTACATACATTCATCAGAAGCTGCCTATTCTCGATACTGAAGCTCAAATGGTCAGAATAATAAGAATATGCAACAAAGAACTCTGGCTGGCTGGCAATGAACCAACCAAGAACCTATCGCCTAACAAATATGCAGGAGAAAGTGCAGATGGATTGGGCATACACTAAGAAGGCCGATTAGGGACATCATACCCAGGCCAGGCCCTCGATTGGATCCAGAGGAGAAAATACGAGTTGGGCGTCCGAGGTGAGGGTGACATGAGGGAGGTGGTGTGAGGAAGAAATGAAAGCTTTTGGGCAGTCATGGAGCGAGGTTCAAAAGACTGAAGATAAGAGAGTAGAATGGAGGCGTGCTACTGAAGCCCTATTTTCTACTAGGAACCCAAAGGAAAATAATAATATAACAATACTAGCACTATTAATACCACTTCTGATACTACTTCTGACTAAAGGCATTCGGTCCATTGAGCTGGTTGTAAGAAAAAAGTCATCCCAAGAGATTTGTAGACAAAGTTAGAATGAGAAAAGCAGAAACAAGTGTACTTGATAATCCCTAGAAGAAACGCGTGTCCCTACATCTAACCTTCATGGGGATGAACTCATGAATCGGGTCGATGGAATAATAGGAACTGACAGTAAAAATCATCTTTCCAGCAGCCAAATTAGTTTCCGTATACATAATAAAGTGTTCACTACAACAATCAAAAGTCGACAGGTTTCCGCCTCATTTCACCTCAAACTGTAGCTACGAATTCACAAGTACATGTCACAGCACGTACACTGGAAGGACACAGAGGAGGGATGAGACTAAATTTCATGAACACATTCCAATACATTAAGCTTTAATCAGCCAAAGCACCTTAAAAGTTCCATTACTAAACATCTGATGACACAAGACACGACGTGCATACCTCGAAAGCATTTAAAAATAGTTAACAAACAAAACACTGTTAAGCTACTAAGATTCGCAGAGGCAGTTGCAATCAGCAGAAATAAACTGATCTAATGGAACAAAAGAGAGGCAGTCGTTAGCCTCTAACTTCCATGACAACCGTTGATTTGTTTCATCTTTCAGTATAACCCCTACAAAATTCCGTACTTACATTCCTTTTTAAAACCAGATGCAAAATCAGTTCCTATTTCGTCTCCAACAGTTTACTACTTGACCCTATCTGACATGACCTGAATCCATGCAAAGCATTTTGTCCCAATACATGGATTGCTAACTCATCAAATACACTTACGTAATACTTTCTATTGCATTTCGATTGATCACATATAGCAGGATGACTTCAACAACCTCTCGTGGTCTGCTTGAACTCTGGCCCACCGTTTTCTATCATCGAGTATATTGCATCCAATTTCTTATTTCTATATTGTTTTAATCGTTTAATTATGTCAACCAATCGTATTGTATATTCTCGTGCGTTTTTAAAATCATTACAACCTATCGCTTCGCAAGTTGATAGGAAATTTAAGAAGAAGCACCACGGTGGATGGCAACGAGCTCTGAAGCGTATGACCATAGATCAAATGACTATTCCGGAAATACTTAGCACAAACTGCAGGTCGTTGCCGAATAAAGTTGATTACCTTCAGTCACTCTTGTCCACAAATGTTTATCGAAACACGGGTGTAATAATGCTGCAGGAAACATGGCTTCATAATCTGTATGATGATGACTTAGTCTGCTTAGATGGTTTCAAATTATTTCGACAAGATCGAAGCTTTTCGAAGAAGAAATGTGGTGGTGGTGTAGCAACATTTATTAGTACTAACTGGTCGTCCTCCAACTATGTATGCTTCTGCTTCTCTAACGAAAAAATTGAGTGCATTACCATCAAATGTCGTCCCAAACATTTGAGCAAATACAAATACATATATATCACAAACATGTATGTCACACCTGACTGCAGTTTCTCAGATTTGTCAACTTTTGCTGATAAATTCACTGAATTTGCTGCTCCGGTTCTGGGAAACTCCTTGTCTATTGTCTGTGGTGATTTTAACTCATGTGACTACAGTTTTCTATTATCATTGGGTCATAAAAATATGGTTAACTTTTCCACTCGTCTTGACAACACCTTAGACTTTGCATTTACAAATGAACCTGGCATATATGAAGCCCGTAAACGGGCTCCACTGCTAAATTCCGACCACTGTATCGTTCGTGTTTTGCCTAAAGTGTACGGAAAATTATACAAGAAAGCTTTTGCATACCTTTCAAGGAAAGTTCAATACAGATGCTATTCACAAGAAAATATATTACGTTTGAGAAGCATGCTTATAGAAACGGACTGGGATATATTTGCTGATGAAGTTTTAGACAACACTATTACCAATATCACAAGCTATCTCAGATTCTGTCTCGATATCTGCTGCCCTACTGAAACAATTTACATGAGATTTGACAGACTTTCCTCTCCTCATCTCAAGAGGCTTCGGAGAGAAAAGGAAAGGTTGTATAAGGCGAGAGATCACCCTGGCGTTAAAAGGCTTAACTGCCTAATTAAGTCTGAATACTATATACAACGAGAAGTTCTTATCGTGTAAGAACTCTTCCAATATATGGAAATTATTTAAAGAGCTTACTGGTAAAAAACAGATGACAACACAAACTCGTTCGGATGTCTGCGCGTTAAACAAGTCATTTATACGTCGGCAAGCTAATTTCACCCTTCCTAATGTGCAAAATCAAGTGGATAGCTGCTTTCCAGGTTTCAATACAAATGATGTATTTAAATGTCTAAAGTCTTTGAATCCCTCCCAAAGCTTAGGTCCTGATGGTGTTTCTAGTATCATATTTAGAAAATGTGCAGATATTTTGTGTCATCCACTTACAGATATCTTCAATGTATCGTTCTCTAAAAACATAATACCCACTGCTTGGAAGCAGATAAAAATTGTACCTGTGCCTAAGCCATCTTCTGGATCAGATGTTACTTTTCGACCCATCGCTATAACTTCCCCTTTTCTGAAGACAATGGAGAAATTACTTCTGCTTGTGATTGAGCCTTCATTGATGGCCTTCAGAGATCCAAAACAGTTTGCTTACAAACACCGGAGGAGTACTTTAGATGCAGCTACTGTCTTGCATCATAATATTGTTTCTAGTCTCGACAAAGGTGTTAAGTATGTCCGTTGTGCCTTTTTGGATTACTCATCAGCCTTTGACTCTGTTCCTAGACCACTTTTGTTAAATAAGCTTGCCATAGCTCACACTGATCCATGGGTTACAAAATGGCTGCATTCTTATTTTTCTGGGATGCGCTCCACTCCATTGCTTACTGAAGCTGGTGTGCCTCAAGGTGCTGTACTTTCTCCTTTTCTGTTTTCCTTCTTTTGCACGATTTGCCTTATTCTGTTGAAACTAATTTTATCAAGTATGCTGACGACCTGACGATTTCTATTCCAGTAAACTCTTCTTTGGATTGCTCGAATTAAATGAATTCTTGTCTGAAGTTGGTAAATGGTCTCTCTCAAATGGTCTCAAACTAAACCCCTCTAAATGTCAGACCGTTAATTTTAGCCTCAGGCGTAAACAAGACTTATGTGAGCTGCTTAAATCTCATGACGCCTGCTGCATCAATGGTATTTCTGCAGAAAGTAAATCGAGTGTGAACTATCTTGGGTTGCGTTTTACTTCTGACCTTTGTTGGTCGTCCCATATTTTATTGACTTGCAAAAAAATCTTTCGTTTAACTTATTACGTAAAGAAATTGAGGCTTTCTGGTATAACTCAACTGCTTCTTTTACAATTTATCAATTCCTGCATTTTACCTATTCTTCTATATTGTTCCCAATTAATCTCTCCTGGTCTTCTTAAAAAAGTCCATGTTATGTTGCGTAGGGCTTTGAAGACCGTCAGCAGGGTGAGTGATGCATCTCTGGCTCAACTGATTAACACTGTAGTTGATCGACATATAAATTCCTGCAAGCTACTAGCTACAGAAATTTTAACTGACAGTGGGCATCCACTTCGTTTACAGCTCTCTTTATGTATCTCCTCAGGGAGGACAAGGAGAAACTACATAACACTGTATGCTCGTACAGCTAAGTATGAAAATTCGACTGTACCTTACCTTGCACGCATATTTTGTGAGGAAAAAAGTGTTAGAACAGAAATCACACATCAACTTTGTGACAGTTAAAAATCTCATTTCAATAATTTAACTTACAATGCAAAATGTTCTCGGTTTTCATATTCTTCACATAACTTAAATTTTTATAATAAAACAATTCA